TCCAATTTTGCATTTGCTTTCTATATTTGTTAAAAGTAATTCTAATTTGAAACATAGGAAACTGATGATTTTTTTAATTACTGCTGCCAGATTAGAAGTAGCCAAATGTTGGAAGTCAGGTGACCTCTCCATTCAGAACTGGTGGTCTAAAATTTGAGATATGTGGTTGATGGAGAAACTGTCTGCTATGACGAGGTTTTGCTTTGGCCACAAAAGGGCTGACACATTTCAAGAATATTGGATGATTTTTACTGATTATGTTAATTATCACTCCCACTAGATCCAACCTCCAATTTCACAGTTAGATCTTTGGACAGATACTCTACACCTTCATAAGCCAGAGTGTCTGGCTCTTGCTGAGAACTAATTTTTTGATTCTCCTGCAGAATAACTACCTTTCAATACATATCTTGGCCCTTGTAGTTAATTGTTGCTGTTGTTGTTGTTCTACAGGCGTTATGTGTTTTATTGTAAAAACTCAATAAAAATGTAATTAGAAAAAAATATAATACTTTATCACCTGGATTTATAATAAAGACTGTGGATTGGTAGTCTATCCAATTTTTAAAAAATCAATTATGTACAACAATTTGCTGGTCTCAGTTATCCATAGTGCTTTCACACAGGCTACTACTTATGGAAAGAATGTGTTTCTCTTTTCCCTACCCTTTGTTTAGAACACATATATTATTTTGATCCTGTAATCCAGCAGTGATCAGGACATTATTTCAGAGATTGAGAAATCAGTGCTTGCAACAGAGAAGACAACAGCCTGACCACTGTGGAATAACTTGCAGTAGGCAATAAGAATTGTCACGCAGTAAAGATCAACACTGCATTTGCAGCTGAAACCACAGCTAGGCTCAGGAACATCCAATGGGCTACCAACACAAATGCTTGCTTATATGAATTACAACAAACTCCTTTAAGACACATATTTAGAGCAGACAGTAACTAGTGTTTGCTCTATGTATGTCTGTGGAGGATTTCCTTCCAGCACAAATCCCTCCTTCACAGGAGGGATTTTCTTTGGGACACCAGCAGGGAAGGAAAAGGTTACATTATCCTTTCAAACCACTTGCTGTTCCAGTAATTACTGGCTCCTTCAGCTCTCCAACTCTGATGATGTTTTTATCACTGTAGTCATCAAAAGCCACTTACAGATATTTCATCTTCTTAATGCATTTCCCAAAGCATTTTTTAAAAAAACATAAAAAACAAAAATACAAAAGAGGAATACAAATCACTGTGGTAAGGTGCCCATAAAATTCAGTGAGTGAATCAGGGCAATGCCATGATAACCACCTCATCTGAAATACCTTCTATCACTTTTAGTTTAGCCCTCAGCTGATTGCTCAGCAGTTCCCCAGCAGAACCAATAATTGCCAATTGCAAGATACAAGTACCTGAAAAGTTCAAAAACAACATTATATTTCCTAAACCCATGCATTAAGTTCTTAGAAGTAATGTTCTTAATTGAGAACAAACATGATTTGAGCTTGGTCTACAACTCTGGAGTCCAGGGTTCAAATCTCTGTTCAGCCATGGAAACCCACTGGATGATCTTGGCCAAGTCACACTCTCTTAGCTTCAGAGGAAATGGCAAACCCCCTCTGAACACATCTTACCAGCCCTTTGATAGGTTTGCTTCAGGGTTTCCATAAGTTGGAAACATGTTGAAGGCACACAACAATAACAAGAGTAACAAATGCACATAATTATACAGCTAGATTGGGACATTTAAATTGGACTACGGAGCCTGCTCTCATCTAGAATAAATAAATTTCCAAGCAACTAAAAAGTGGATGTCAAATTTGCTTTTTCTTATTTGCAAAAGGAAGAAAACTTACTATGATCCCATATTTTTTTGGTGTCCCACTTTCTCAAACAACTTGATCAAGCGATTATTGCTGTAGATAAGCATGCCATATTGACTTCTGTTTTGAATGTTGATTCCAAATATTAAAAAGAGTTTTTTTGGTCTTTTCAAGTTTCTGTACAAAGAAAACAAGTAACGTTTTAAAAAAAAAGATTAAAATTTCTGATTGTAGATGTCATAATTTAGAGGTTACAATATATGCCATGATGAACAATCAGGTACACAGCGCTCATTCTGGGTGGGGGATTCTGAACACTGTAGTCCAAAAATAATATTTCCAAGCTCTTATTATCACAGATTTAAGTGATGAAATGAGTCAACCACTTCCAATATGTTAAGGTTAAAATGAAATCCACATACAACTCTAGGTTTCAGGAATCTGGCTCATTACTAATCTAAGAAAAAGAATGAGAAAAAGAACCACAATATATACCGTATGAATATATATTAGAACCCAGGATATTTGTATAGTTTTAGGAGTGATTATTTTTAGTTTATGGGGGGGGGGAAACCTTTTGTGGAAACTTCATGAAGGTATCAGTCTATACAAACATTCTTCAATTGGGTTACAGTGCCACTAACTGAGATTCTTTGCTGCTGGCTGTGTAATTTTACTCCTTTCTGAAATGGTATCAAAACTTTGTGGGGGTTATCATCCTACTTGGAGCTGAAGTGCTTTAATTATCTGGATATTGGAACTGATTACATTATATATCATTTAGTGCACCATGCTGGATTCATCTGCTTGTGGATAACTGGACTGTTTGCATTACAGGTTATGTTTTGAATCTCTCTTTGAATAAATTCATTATAAACTGTAATATATTTGGACAGCTGATATCATTTTTCAATCAGTGCATTTTTGTTAATAACAGCTATTTACTATACATACAATTGCTTCTTTGTTTCTTTAGTTATTTACCCTTTGGTCCTAATACATTTTATGTGTTTGTCATTTTGTAGCTATTTTTGTTTACTCTCTCTCTCTCTCTCTCTCTCACACACACACACACCAGGTTCACTATTCCAGATCACCCTTCTGTTTTTAGGCATTTGAAGGACCCTTACCTTTAATCTGATTTATTTATGCATGATCTTGAAATCTCTACTAGAGGTTTTGTCCTCTCCCTGTCTATTCAGACGTTTGTATAGGATTGCAGCCGAGGACTATAAAGCATACATACGTGGCAATACATTATGATTCTACAATTATTTTGAAAATTATCTTAAATACAGATTTGTAAAAAATACTCAGTACTGAAAATCACACTGTCATACCAACTTTTAGTTTTCATTGTTATATCTAAATAGATTCTTTAGGAGTATTTTATTGGAAAATGCTGTTCTAAGTGCTGATATTGCCTATTCTTTATTCTAATCAAACTCTAGTAAATTTAAATCCTCTAAAGAGGAACAAAATCCCAAAAGCTATTTCTAATACAGTATTACTTTTGAACAATCATGGTATCAGAAGCACTATAATATTTGCAGAACTCTGAGAAAGCATGACAGAAATATAACACCCACAGCTGTATCACAATTGGATTTTCAGCTGTCATTGGTAATTTAAACTAGATAGTCACAGTATCTTTTCCTCTGTGTGGGAATATGATTTTATCCATCACTACATAACAGAAGTAAATCACTCCAAGTCTTACTTGCCTTTGCATTTCTTCCAGTTTTTCCTTCATTCTCTTTTCATTCTCCTGAGCATCCTGTAATGCAAGCTGAGCAAACTTCCAACCCAGCATCAAAACAAAAACAAAAGCAGTAGAACAGATTATTTTACCATAAATGTGGATATTCTATAAAATAGGTAGTGGTTGTGTTAGGGCAGGGATAGGCAACTGTACGAGGCAAAGGGATCTTGAATGGCCATGCCCACTTTGTCTGCATCCTCTACACACACAAAAATAATTCTTTGCTCTCAAATGGCTTTTGGGGGCATGGGACATTTTTGCCATGTTTTTGGGTCCAAGGGTACTGGGGTCCTTAGAGATTCCCCCCTTTTTTTAGCCACACAAAGTAACTGGAAGTCACTTCCGATCACTTTGTGTTTCAGAAAAAGACCTCCCCTGGGCTTAAAATGGTCCAGCCGCATGCCTTCATGTTGTGAAAATGCCCCCTCACACATCTGGAGCATTTGAGGGCAACTTTTAAAAATATTTTTTGAAAAATATATTTCTGATTTATGGGGGAGGGAATTAGGGGGGCACAAAACAGCTCTGGGGCTGCAGGAGAAACCCAAGTTCCCCAGCCTCATTCTAACAGCATTCTGATTTACTGGAACTTTGGAAATTAGATTTTTTGGGGGGATGGGGTCACACACATGTGCATATTACTTCAGCACCTCCCATATGAGTCTGTCCAAAATTGGAGATCTTCAGCAGATGCCCTATTACATATCATACCACCCTAAAAAGCTAGGCTGGTGAGTACACGAGACAGGGCTTTCTCAGTGGGGGCACCGCAGCTATGGAACTCCCTCCCAAGGCAGTCAGCTGGCTTCATCTTCTAATAGGCAACTAATAATACTATATTATTTTGCATAACCTTCAGGGTCACTGTTCTGGCTGTTTCAACTATCTGTGGTTTAAAAAAATATTTTAAAAGAAATTATTTTAGTGTATTTTTAATGTTCTTATCTGGTTATACTTTACACAATCTCCGCACCCCCAATGGACTGAGAGAGAGTACGGTATATAAATGTTTTAAACAAACAATAGCACAGACAGCTCTATCCTCAAACACCTTTGCTCCATACCTTCCAGTATCCAGGAGCTAAAGCAGTCCCCTTGTCGTGCACCCTCCTTTTTATCCTGCCATAGGTGTGCTTCCCCTCCACCTTTTAACCTCAAGGAAAACAGGCCTCGCACAATCCGCTGTGTTACCTACATTTGTTTTTATTTTAATGGCTTAAAAAGAAAAATTGTCTTTTAATTATATTTTAAACTTTTGTATGATATGAACTTGTTGTCCACCTTCACACTGATCTATGGTAACCCTAAGACAACCCTATAATGGGATTTTCTTGGCAAGATTTGTTCAGAGCGTTTTTACCACTTCCTCCTTCTGAGGCTGAGGGAGTAAGACTTTCCCATTGTCACCCAGTGGGTTTCCCCAGCTGAGCAGGGATTTGAACCCTGGTCTTCTGAGTCATAGTCCGACACTCAAATCACTACACCATCCTGACTCTAGGTGTATTTATTTTAATATCTGTAAACCACCCTGAGTCCTGGATTAGGAAAAAGGTAAAACATAAACAAGCATGATGATGCTGATGACGATAAGACCAGCCCTACTCCCTGTTGCCCTCTTTCAGTACCAGGAAGGCAAAGAGAGAGAAGAATAAAGAGAAAGGGGATGCTTTTAGGGATAAGGTGTACTGCTGATTAGCTAAGGAGAGCAGGAGGGTGGTATTGAAGGCAGGGGAGATCTGGGATTTCAAGAAATTTCTTGTTTTGAGGAAAGTTTTTCCAAACAATTCAGGTCATTTCTGAGACAGACAAATGTCTGTAACAGCTCTGATTTTGAGGAGAAGTGGGAAAAACTTGATTTGTTCCAAGTCTGTCTTGTTGACTGTTGCTCCCAAAATTGTTAATAAAACCTCTTTATGTCTTGCTTCTATGTTTATAAATCAAGAGCTCACTTAAGAGGAATAAATCCTTGTCTATTCTTCTCCCCCAAACTACTTCGTATAAACTATTTTACTCCCTGTATGAATTCCAAGATTAATTTATTTTATTTATATGCCATCTTTCTCTTAAATTGGCAGCTCACAAAAATGGGAGTAATTCCTGGTTGAATTAAAAATGGTTTTACTGTTGGATGCCTGTATCCATTTAGTCAGTAGTGGGGTCCTTATTGGGATCAGGTGTGGTGTAGCAGTTTGAGTGTTGGACTTGAACCCTGGGAGACCAAGGTTAGAATCCCTCTCATTGATGGAAACCCACTATGTGGCCTTGGGCAAGTTACATCTTTTCAACCTTAGCAGATGGCAATAACAAACCTCCTCTGAAAAAATATTGCCAAGAAATCCCCAGGATAAGGTCACCAGAAGTCAGAGTCAACTTGAAGGCATAAAACAACAAGGGTCCATGAACTTTTTATCTTTGAGCACAAATACATAGGACTGTGTAGTAAAACCTTGGACTCTGAGGGCAAGGTCATCCAAATGGCACCATTGTTTGATGGTTTCACAGTTTTAACCCCCCCCCCCCGGGTGAAATGCCTCTCCTAAGACTTAGGGCCTTTGCAGACTGCCAGAAATAGTGCACATTAAATTGAGGCACTGCCCTGGCTCAGTGCTAGGGAATCATGGGAACTGTAATTTATTGTGGCACCAGAGCTCTCTGACAAAGAAGAAAAAAGATACAATTCCCATGATTCCCTAGCACTGAGCCAGGGTAGTGCCTCAATTTAATGTGCACTATTTCTGGCAGTCTGCAAAGGCCCTTAGTTATTGGAAGTAAGGTAAAATATGCAAACATTTTTGGTCTCAATCTTTTGCTTTTGGCCCCACCTAATCATTGGTTGTAATTTATTTTGAGGAAAAAGAGAGATGCTATGTGCATTATTATAAAAACCAGAAGTCATGGAATCTGTTTGTAGATGACAAAATGAAGAAAGAGTGGCACAGAAGACTAGTGAAGATCCAGTTTCAAGTTTCTCGGCTGGCTTGGGTGTCTCACATGGAGTGAAAGACTCCATCTGAAGAGTGTTTACTGTTTGCCTGGCCTAGAGAGGCTAAATGTTCAGTGAGAACTGGGGCAACTCCAACTGAAGCTGCATCTGTGCTAAGCCTTTCCTCAAACAATGCTGATATCTCAAGCGAGAGCCCAACATCATTACAATGAGGCCTGAACTTGAATTTAGCCCTTTGGCTTGTAAAGGTTCTATAATATTGCTGAAAAAAGCTGCTACTGGGGGTGGAAAAGTTCAGGAAGAAGAAAGAGTCAATCCTCTCTTCCTGTTGCACATTGGCTCCTACACTCCAATTCCATTGACATATAGGGAACTGGACTGGGTTTAGTTCAGTATGGCCTGTATTGACTGGCTACAATTTTTCAAGGCTCCAGGCAAGGTTCTTCTTCTCGTCACCTTCACTTATCCTTTAGTTGGAGACACCATGTATTGAATCCAGCAGTTTCTATATGCAAATCCATCTCCTTTATCTCTAATCTATAGTCTTTCTCCTATTTTCAATGCTTAACTTTACCCTTATGTCTTACAATGATTCATCAGAAAAGTTTCTACAAGCTACTGACAAGTCCTAAATCACTATCTTATGACTACTGCATGAACTCCCTGAACCTGGATTGTATCACCTCTATTTAGATATAGCACTTGCCACACTGTCTGTACTATATATGGCTTCTAAAAAGAGTCAGTGTGGTGTAGCAGTTTGAGTTGGACTAGGACACTAGGAGACCAGGTTTGCAATCTCTGCTCAGCTATGGAACCCGCCTTGGGCAAGACATAGGGCCTTTGCAGACTGCCAGAAATAGTGCAAATTGAGTCCACTTTAACTGCCCTGACTCAGTGCTAGGGAATCATGGGAACTGTAGTTTATTGTGGCACCATAGCTCTCTGACAGAGAAGGCTCAATGTCTCAGAAAAAAATACAGTTCCCATGATTCCCTAGCACTGAGCCAGGGCAGTTAAAGTGGACTCAATTTGCACTATTTCTGGCAGTCTGCAAAGGCCCTCACTCTCTCAGCCTCAGAGGAAGGCAAAGGCAACCCTCCTCTGAACAGATTCTGTGAAGTAAACCCCATGATAAGTTCACTTTAATGTTGCCGTAAGTAAAAAATAATATGAAGTCACACAACAAGAAATGGCTTCTAAAGCAAGGATGGGAAACCTCGTTCAGCCCAAGAGCCAAATTCAATTTCAGAAAGTTTCTGTGTGTCATATTCCAATACTAGGCATGGCCAAAGATGCAGAGATCCAAAATAGTAGTGTGTTTATTTAAATCTCTTAAAGCTAACAAACAGTTCAATAATTTAAAATTGGGAAGGGGAAGCCTAGAAAAGCTGAATATCCAGCAAACAACAGTGTTGCTGGGAAGGAGGCATGGCCACCTGGGAAACCCCAGAGGACTCTGTCTGGCCTGTAGGAGAGCTGCATTTGGCCTCGAGGATTGAGGTTTTTCACCCTTGTTTCAAAGTATTAGTAACAGTCATATGTATGGGAGTCTGGTAATTCAGTGTTTGGAGGATTAGTGATGTGAACATTTCCCTATGAATATAAATGATAATTTGTGCAGTTACAATTAGGGTTATAATTATCAGGTTGTAAGCCCTCTGAAGTGGAAAGTGCCTTCCAAAACATTCTTCAAGAAATAATTGAACCGAAAGTCAAGGCAGCTTAATAACGACTTTTAAGAATCCTCAGCAATAGTAAATAGGCAATTAACAGGATTTGAAAATCTTCCCTACTGTTTAAAGGTCACACTAGGCAAAACTTTCAAAAGCCTAGCATTATCAATGCTCATGGCCTATATTTTCAAGCAATTAACTTATAAGTCTAATCAGGTAGCAAGGACAAATGTGGCAAATGTTGACGCTTTGCCCTGGCAGTTGTGGGCCAACAGAAATTGCTTGCTATGTGAAGTACAGGCTTGGGGCACCATTCATAAGAAAATTATCTTGTCCAAGGCCACTGAAAATGAACAGCAAGAGTATTAGGGATTTCAGTGGCACAGGAATCCAGTGGAGAGCCAGCCTACCTCAGAAGGCTCTTCAAGCATATAAAGAACAGCTTTTGTAACATCAATTGCTGTGATTGGTGGGGCAGTACGACCCTCTGGACCGGCCAGGTATTGTAACACTAAAATAAAATATTAGATGTAGGGGCAAATTAATATGTCAGGCTCCAAGGCTAGTTTTGCCTCTAGTAACCATTAACCCAAATTAAATGTTAACAAATGATTCTTTCCATGATGCACATTTTCCATTTATTTCACTGAGATCTGCACATGAGATTTAGAGTGACTTTTTGTTTTTGTTCTGTACCTTCAAGTCACTGCTGACTTATGGTAGCTCTAAGGTGAACCTATCATGGGGTTTTATTGGGAAGATTTGTTCAGAGTGTTTTTCTTTGTCTTCCTCTGAGGCTGAGAGAAAGTGACTTGCCCAAGGTCACCAAGGGCTGAGTGAAAATTTGAACTCTGGTCTTCAGGATAGTAGTCTAATGTTCCAGCCACTACACCATGCTGGCTAGCAAACAATTTATCAGGTTTACCACAGGAAGCCTAAATTGGCGTGGACCAAGATTCTTAATGCACTATCAGCCCTATTCACATATTAAATTTTAGGGTTAATGAAACATGCAGGAAGGGAAACACACTAGTCCTGCCATCTCCCTTGCCATGTTGCTTACATAAAATGTAACTGGTCTGAAGAGTACAGTCCTTTCTATACACAGAAGCTTTCCATATGACCTAGAACCTTGGAAAACAATGGTTCAGAATTTATTGAGGGCATTCATGTATATTGGAGACTCACTGCTTGACTTGAAACTTTTTGCTTGACCAAAGCAATGATGGGGGATACAGCAGGTGTATTTCCTCACATTTAATGCAAAATGGAATGCCTGAATGGGGCTTATATATGTAAATTAGTTTACCCAGTGCTGAGATCTTTATGTTACCAACAATAGTTTTATGAATGGCCAATGCTAATGCTGTTGCTGTCACTTTCTACACTTAGTTTTCCTTACCGTTTTAGGGTTAATTATGTGTTTAAATTTTCCTCACAGTATACAGTTCTCCCCATAAACATGTGTCTAAGTGTCCTAGAGACCACTTCATGCATCTGATGAAGCAGCAAAGGTCAGGACAACTAATGCTATAATACAGGTGTTAGCCTTTAATGTGTCCCAGGACTGTTGTTTCTCCTGCAACAGACTTAATAGGGCCATCCACTGGGAAACTGTTTATCCTTTTTACAGTACCTCACTGTCTTCACAGAAAGGAGAGTCTTGCAAATATTTTACTGTGCACTTTGCTTCCTTCAAAGCTTCTTCAGCTAAAAGGATAAGGAAAAGCTTTTGTCAAATCATTCTAGAGACAGATTTACCTAGTGTGCTGCAAAATACTAAAATTGACTACAGATCTTAAGTCCAGGGCCTAAATCTAATTACTAGTGTTGATTAGATCAGTGGAATCAGTGGAACTTATGAAATGTTGAT